CGCTCTTCGCAGCTGACAGACAGAGTGAGGTTATCCTGGAGGGGATAAAAGCGATGGACACAATAGTGAAAAAATGCTCCGATGCCTATTTGTCAGCACCATGAACTGCAGCCTTTACACGGGGCAGCAACAGGATCCCCTGACAATCCACAAAGTATGTAATTATCCCTTTCTACAGATGGGAAGCAGAGCTGGAGAGGTGAGGGGATTGTCTTGAGTGGAACAGGTAAGTGGGAGAGCTGCTCGGGGGCAGGGATGCTGGACCTGGGAAGAGAGGGAGATTCTGAACAGAGCAGGTAGGATTAAGTGATGACCTGGGTGGGAATGGTGGGGGTAGGTTACAGTGAGGACCCCTGCCTAGGCTGTAGGAAGAGGAGAAGGGGACTCAGGTGTGGCCTTCACCTTTCAGCTGAAGGGAGACCGTGTGGCAGAGACTCCGGTGGCTGAAGCTGTGAACTAACTGCGGTGGGGAGAGGCTCCCGCCAGCTGCCCTTTCGGGGCTCAGGCTTCCCGGGGTGGGGAAAGAGGGCAGCACGGAGCCACCTGGAACCAGATCTCCAGCCTGGGGACAGTTGCCTCTCAGGGCAGAAGCAAACCCCCTCCTTCACGGCCGCTAACACTCAGCCACCCCCTGGGGCCCCACAGATGGTCCTTGAAACTGCTGGGAGAAGACTGTGACCGGTGCACCAACCCCAGGATGAAGTCTTATGTGGCCTGTGGAGGACCCCAATGATGTGAGAACACAGAGACACACGGGGGCGCTCTAACCAAGTAGCAGAAGAGGATACCCGTCAGTCCCCAGATGGAAAGAGGGTAAATATTTCGAAAAACCTCTGGTCTAGTGTTTCAGTGGAGCAGTTACTGGAACTCTGAAAAGGATATTTCTCCCCCCGGGGGTCGTGTCCCTGCCACTGCAGGATGTCTGCCCTCCCTGACACCCTCCCTGTCACTATGACAACCCAAACCCCCAAGTTCAGTTTCCAAACACTCCCTCTCCTGAGAGCCCCTGCTGGTCAGTGCCACCGGAGGATGCCCACTGGTGGCCTTGGGGAGCTGGGTAGTGTCTGCTCTCCCAGCGCTACAGAGGAATCCAGCACCTCCCACTTTGACCTTGTGAGTTAGGCACCTGCAGGTGCTGGAGGATCGTAGGTCCCATAACATTCCGTGTTGGCTGCGGCTCGTGGGGACCATCCTCCTTCGGAGGTAGGTTTTCCTCCGTGCTGTTATCCCTCAGGACTGGGTAGGACGAAGGCTGCATTGATCACACTGGGGACACAGACACAGGACCCTGAGACAGACACCACGGGACCTGCGTACAGACACCCATGTCCCAAGGAGCACACACGTGGTCACAAAGAACACAGCTTGCACAACACTTCCACAAAGCAGGTCTGAAACCAGGCAGCCTGCTGGAGCCCGGGGAGCCCCACAGTTGAGCCTTCTGAGATGTTTCTATCATTAGGTTTACAAAGACAAAGCACCAACGGTGAAAAAGCAGGGGTATTATTCTAAATATTTACCAACCAATGAATCCTGGACTCCAGCCAGTCAGAACAGAGACCGGTGTACACAGCTGGTATGTGCAGTGCGCTATCAGCCCTGTAAACAGCCTGGTCAGCAGAGCCCGAGTCCCCCTGTGGGACACCAGGCCTGCCATGGTGGCTGCTTAGGCAGGACAGAGGTGACTTTTGGGGAACATACACCAAGGTTAACAGCAGTCCAGACAGGACCTGGGAGAATCACTATCAATCCCAATGCGGGGTCTAGGAACCCAGCCAGCATGTGAGGAAAGAGGGGCTGGGGGAAGACCCAGGCGGCTCCAGTCCCCAGCACATACCTGGCATACCCCACCCCCAACCAAGGAGCCCGCATTCCTTAACAGAGGTGGTCAACGAGTCGCACAAAGATGGCACCTCCTGGAAGGCCGGAAGCCCAGGGCTCCTGTGGGCACAGCCCTGCCCGTTGAGATGCTCACCACCTCTGAACGCAGATGACACCACCCCCAGCCCTCGGGCGGGCGCGAGCTCTTACTGCATGGAGAGCAGACATTGCAAACCAAAGGTGATTCTTACCCTCCTTCGAAGATTTTGATCCTCGCCGGCTCCCCTCTCTTGGAGGCAGGAGCGTCCTCCTCCGGCTTCCCTCGCCTCTCCTCTTCCTTCTCCACTCCAGCTATCTCTTTCTGGCCTTCCGGGGGAACCAGCGAAGGGAGGCGAACCTGGCCCACCGCAGGAACGACAAAATCATGGCTGGTTAACGGGTGGTCATGGAATGATGCCTTCGATGGCATCGCACACCGACGCTTCATCCTCCCTCTACCCAGTGAAGAGGTGCTCTTAGCCCCACTTTACAGAAGGAGGGAAACGGATCCTCTGAGAGGTGAAGTCAGAACTGGGACTCTGACCAGGTCTTTTTCAGGGGAAGACCAGGCCTTCCCATGAGAGCTGCGTTTGCTCTCTTTTTCACACTAGTCTAGGGGCTTCTGGGGTCAGGTCCTCATCTTGGTCTCGCCTCAGAGAAGGCATCTGAGGAATGCTGAATACATAAATGAGGGCTCCACCTTTGGAGAGTAACCAGCCCAATTCTCTTTTATAGATGAGAAAGTCAAGGTCACACAGCAAGTTAAGGGCATTGCTGGGAGCAGAACGCAGGTCTCCTGAAGGTCCTGACCAATAGCACCCCCCAGTCTCCCGCCCCCGAGCCGGACACAGAGAAGCTGTGCCGCCCACTGACGGGCATGGGCCTGGCGGGCGTGCGTCTCAGGGAAGCTGTTCTCTTCAAGAGATAAGGGCCTCGGTGGTGAGAGCTGGCTGGATAACATGTCCCCTAGATCCTCTGATGGTGGCAGGGGTGGGCGCACCCTTTAATAGGGAGCAGCGATGCTGGGCTGGGGGCTGGGGCCAGCAGTGAGATCCTTATCCTACTTCATGCCACTGTCATTAAGGTCACGAGGAACTGCACTGTTGACAGCCCACAGGAGGAGCAACCCCGTCTCCCGGTGCTGGGACAATCTAAGGACAGAAGTCCCTGTGCCAGTCACCACACCTGCCCCTACAAGGATGGGCTGGGGCTGGGCAGAAAGGTAGCTGGTTGGGAATCAGGGAATCTGAGTTCTAGCACCACATAGGCCACCGCATGCTGAGCCACGCTTGGGTGAGTTAGCTCACCTCTTTGGGCCTCAGAGTCTGAGGGGATTTTAGACCATCTTGGAGATTCATTCCAGGGTCACCTTCTATGACTCAGTGACCCCCCCGCCACCCCCCAAAAAATCTCTCCAGAATTGGAGATGGGGAGTGGAAACCAAGTGAGGCTATGGACTGCTGCTCTGGCAGAAGGCAGGTGATTTTATGCAATACCCAGGGATTTCCAGATTTTCACTTCCATCTCAGCCTGCCATCTGGGCCACCCATGGAAGGACCAAGAGGCCTCCCCCAGGCTGATGAATGACTTCTGTCTCACAACCAGCTGTGATGTCAGGGCCAAGCTAGAGGAGGCTGGTTTTGGTGGCAGGAGCCACTCTACCAGGAAACACTGTTGGAACTGAGCAGGGGACTAGGGATCCACTTTAGCTTTTAATGATAATAATGTGAATAACTGCAGATAATGACGATCAAGTGCCAATGCGCCAACCACTGTTCTAAATACACTTTGCACATTTTAACTCATTTAATTACCTCTACAGTCTTATGAGCCAAGTATTATTATTGTCTCTATTTTATAGATGAGGAAACCAAGGTGCAGAGAGGTTAAGTAATTGGCCCAAGGTCAATTAGTAAGTGAGATAGTGGGATTCAAATTCGGGCAACTTGGCACTGAAGCCCTTGCTCTTAATCTCTTTGCAATAGTGCACGTGGTTGTCAAAATGATTCCCAAAGAGAAAAAAGGAAGGAGAAACCTGGGGGATGAAATCTGGCTGCAAAGTGAACTCTTGTATAAGCTTGGGATTCTCCAGGGCTTAAAATGGAAAAAGAATGTATGTGACCAAACTCAAACCTGATTGGGTGGCCTAGACCTGCACAAAGATGGTTAGGAAGAGCTTTGAAATGCTGATATAGCCCAAAGGGCCTTTTCAGAGCTACTAACAGGGAATGGAAGCTATGGGATGACAAATGTCAGCTCAGTATAATAGGGAACTTTCTTAAAGCACTGTCCCAAGATGGGCTGGGTTGTACTAAGAGGTGGTGAGCGCCCAGTCACTGGAGATATGCAAGCAGAGACCAGAGAGAGGTGTAATTATAGAAAGGCATCAATCAGTGGGCCATGCAGTTACATTAACGGACCAGACTGGTGAGCTTCTGGTAGGAAACATGCCAGTGAATCAAATGGAATATTCCAGGAAAAAAGTGTGCATGGTTCAGCTCATTTTAGGAAAGCAGCATTTTGAACAAATGATTGTCAAACCCAGTTAAGCCAAATTAACTCTTTGTTTTTCTTAAACCACCTTTCAGTGTTCAATCATTAAAACACAGGAGCAGTCCTGAGCACCCAAAAGAACTTTGGAGTGAGATCTAGTTTTGAATCCAGGACATTTACTGTGTGTGGGGCCTTGTGCAAGTTACCTGACTTCTTTATGCTTTTGTCTCTTTATCAATCACACTGTGATATAGAACCCTGTCAAGGTGGCTGTGAGGATAAAAGTAACACTGAGCACAGTACCTGGTACACAGTAAGTGCACTATAAGTTCTAAGTGTGAATATAATTACAACAGCTTCTTGGGAGTAGCCATAGCCAGTAAGAGACACTGGAGAGAAAATCAGTCATGGTGTTTATGACGAAAGCGGAAACCTCATTTAAGGATGTTGTAGACTGACAAGGATATTTAGAGAATAGATTTGGGAAACAGTTTGGTGAAGAATATCCAGTAGAGCTAAGGACAAATTCAATGCACAAAAGTCACTCAATAAAAGAGCAGGATACAAATATAGGAGAAGTTATCGAACATAGTTTTGTTCATTTATCTACAATAGGAATTTAGGGGACTTATTTGGTCAAAGAATCTGAAGACACACTAATGAACACCTCTAAACTTGCAGTCACTTTTAAGGTTTTCTTTCCTCAAATAATTGAAAGAAGAAAAATAGACTCTGTGGAGTCAGACAGGTTTGGGTTCAAATTCTGGGTTTGCCAAATATTTGCCCTGTGACCTGGACCTCTCTCACCCTCTGACCCTCAGTTCCCTCATCTACAGAATGAAGATGATACTGCTACCTCACAGGTAGAGATGAGTATCAACTGGATTCAAGGGCACAGAGCAACGCCTGGCACAGTGAGGCTACTCAACCAATAAGACCAACTGTTATTCCACAAATATCAAGTCAGCATAGCACATCATGGCCTAAATCCTTATGCTGGCCTTGTCAGGATATGGAGGTGTCACTGGTCTGAAGCAAACTTGGAATTATGAAATGTCAACCTTCCTGAACTTGCAGGGATCAGTTCACTTTATGCCTCCTGATGCAGCCTCAAGTCAGAGGCAATGGAGTAAACATGAGCCCTTGGTCGGGGCTGTGAGCTACCACCAGCGTAGATGAGTCAAGCTGTGACATTGCCACCTACTGGTAAAGAGGGATACTGCAGCCAAGCTCTATTTGCTCTCCTACTCACAGAAAAGAAAGAAGGGATATTTCAGGAGTCATTTGCGTCAAATTCTAGACTCTCTGACAGTGGGAAGATTTCAAGTGGCACCAGAGAACAGAAATAGTAGATGTGAAGAATAGGAAAAGACTAACCAGATAAGGGAGAAATGTATGTTGGAGTGGCAGTTTTCCATCTGTCTTTTGGCTGAGATTGTGTCTTTGATTTTTCAATAGAAGCTAATGGGAAAGTGGATCACTTTAAAGCTCACTTTATTGAAATGTATCTAGTCCAATGGTATGAGGGACACTGACAAAGAAACCCAATAAATAAGGTGATCAGTCACAGCTGACAGAGAGGAAATCTGCCCACTCAGTTGGCTCTCGTTTTGCAAATGGAACGTGAGGAGAATGTGGCTTTAAAAGCTCAGCAAAGACTTTTAAAATCAGTGGGGAGAAGAAAAACAAGGCTGAACTCACCTCTGTCATGCGGGGCTTGCGGGAGCTGGATGGCACAAGCCTTCCTGTCTCAGGATGCGGAGCTGTGGCCATGGTGTATGTCTCTTTGCTCACCTTCTGCTTAGACCTCAGGAGGGACAAAGCAGCTTTAGTGGAAACCCCCGGAAGGTTGGGGTTGTACAAACTTATGCACCAACCAGCGTAAACAGAGGACCTCCTATCTGCATGCTGGATGTGATTTGGCTTAATGTAGTTTAAATAGCACCAACTGACATTAGTGGTCGTGTGGAGGCTGGGGAACTGCAGTACCTTCTTTGAGTCCGTACCTTCTTGCAACTTGGCTGGCCTGGGGGACGTTTCTGACAGAGGCTGTGAGCTGAGAGGTGCCAGTGGAGGGAGGTCAGGTTGTTCCTTGGAATCTTCTTTCTTCACACTCAGTGGGAGCAACCCTCTTCGGTGAGGTTTACCAGACGGCTGGGCATATTCCTTCATAGCCTCTGAGCCCGGGGTTGTCACACGGGGCAATGAGGGCTGAGGAAGGGGAGGAATTTCCTTTGGGTCGGATGGATCTGAGGACAGGCTGGACAGTGTTTCTACTTCCCTCCTGCCCTGGCCCTGGCTGCCCAAGTGGGACTTCTCTAGTCTCCTGCTATCCTCGGTGCTGCTAAGCACCACACTGCACGGTTTCACCAGCTCGAGTTTTTCATCTGCCTTGGAAGCCTCCTCTTCCTTTACTCTTTTTTGCTGCTGGGTTTCCATGGTAAGTTCAAGGCTGCCAGCTGGTGAAAGGACACGTTTGCTTCCCCCCACTGTTGATGAACTCCCCTCCAGGCTCAAGACACTCTCTGATGACAGGGAAGTGCCTTTTCTTTCAGGTAATGTCACAGGCACTCTCAGGTATGGAGTCGGGAAACCTCTGCTTTGCTCTTCGCTTACCCCAGCCGGTCTGGGCCCAACCTCGTACACATCTGCCGCACACACAGTCGTCTCCTTGCATGAGGGCTCCTCAAACTTGGGAGGAGCCACAGTTGCTGAGCTGCCCTGGGACTGGGTGACCAGGATCTGGGAAAGAG